TGTGTGTTTGCGGAGATGGTAGAGAAGGCGACCAAACTATTTACAGCAGCTATAGAATGTGTGTTTGCGGAGATGGTAGAGAAGGCGACCAAACTATTTACATCAGCTGTAGAATGTGTGTTTGGGGAGTTGGTAGACAAGGAGATCAAACTATTTACAGCAGCTATAGAATGTGTTTGGAGAGTTGGTAGACAAGGAGATCAAACTTTTTACAGCAGTCATAGAATGTGTGTTTGGAGAGTTGGTAGACAAGGAGATCAAACTTTTTACAGCAGTCATAGAATGTGTGTTTGGAGAGTTGGTAGACAAGGAGATCAAACTTTTTACAGCAGTCATAGAATGTGTGTTTGGAGAGTCAGACAAGGAGACCAAACTATTTACAACAGCCATAGAATGTGTGTTTGGGGAATTGGTACACAAGGAGACCAAACTATTTACAGCAGCTGTAAAATGCGTGTTTGGGGAGTTAGTAGACAAGGAGACCAAACTATTCACAGCAGCTGTAAAATGCGTGTTTGGGGAATTGGTACACAAGGAGACCAAACTATTTACAGCAGCTGTAAAATGCGTGTTTGGGGAGTTGGTATACAAGGAGACCAAACTATTTACAGCAGCCATAGAATGTGTGTTTGGGGAATTGGTACACAAGGAGACCAAACTATTTACAGCAGCTGTAAAATGCGTGTTTGGGGAGTTAGTAGACAAGGAGACCAAACTATTCACAGCAGCCATAGAATGTGTGTTTGGAAAATACAGCTAGAAAAATAAAAGGAGGTTAATCGATGGAGAAGAGCTAAGATTTACAGATAATATAGCACTTATCACAGAAAGTGTTGGAAATTTGGAGTATGAACTGAACAGTTTAAATTGGGAAGTTCGAACATAGGACAGAAGAGAAACGAAATATATAACAAACTTTGTTAAAAACGAAGAGAATTTCAAGGGAGACAACCGAAAATGTTAATGAATATAAATACTTTGAGATGAAAAGAAATGGAAGATAAGTAAAATCAGGTAGTATGGGTGTATATACTATCAAGGACCAAAAGAAACATTTGTGAACGCAAAAGATGTAGACCTTGAAGTAAAATCTGGTTGGTGTACTTTGAGTAGTACGCGTGTATATATTATCAAGGACCAAAGGAAAGATCAGCGTTTCACTAAAATATAAGATCGAGCATATAACTATAAGAAATGAACTAAAGTTGGAAATATTTAAATGTTAAAGATGGACATATATGAGGAACAGATGACAATGAGTCAAATCGTGGCAACCAAAAACAGCTAAAAGAAAAAGGGGCGATAGAGTATATAAGGTGCCTGGTCTAGGGAGTTACAACAAAAGAGCGGGAAAGATGGAAATTATATGAGGAGTGCCTAAGAAAAAGATTCGCGTTTTTTGTGGATTTTTGAGTTTTAGAACAGAAATTTGTTTGATCATTTGCCCATAAAACGCGATGAATTATTCTAACTTTGACAGACTACAAGTTTTATTGCGTAATATTTGTTTTAAATACAAATATTCAACATTAACCGCACTTGTGAACTTATCCCTATTGGAAATTTTTAAGAAACCATGTATAACCTCAGCATCCTCGTGCCAATGTGTAGAAGTCTTCAACCATGTTTTTGTAGTTTTTTAATGTAACAAAATGCGATACAGCCCTCAATAAATACGTACTTTCATATCCCATTTCGCACAGCACTGAAACAAGACTAACTGGATTGTATATACATTTATCAAATGTATTCAAAAACTACAGCAACAATAAGAGCAGGCCTTTCAAATAACACTTGGTGTTTAAACTGGTGGATTTTAACTTGATGTACACTATCTTCCATGTGAGACAGCGGTAAGTATTTGGACTTACAACGTTAGAATCAGGGGTTCAATTCCCCTCGGTTGACACAGTAGCTAGCCCAATGAGGCTTTGCTATAAGTAAAACACATTTTCAATGTTAGACCTACGAATGTGTGGTACAATTTTAGCTTCATTTTTTTTGCGTCTAGCAAAAAGTGAATATTTAAAAGAAGAAGAAAAATTATTTTCTAATACAATATTCCGTAAGCTTGTTGACCACACCAGAAATCTAATAGTTGAATAAATTAAGGGCTTCATGTCTCATACTAATTACCTTTGAAGTTGTTTGGAAAACCATGCAACTTTGTTTACTCGACAGGGTTTCTGGAATATATCCAGAGAACAATTACCAGAAACACGGTGTTACGACTGCGGAAGTCACGTGACGCTGGTAACAGTATTGGGTATCTAGAAGGATCGGGGAACATCACGAATAATCCAGTATTTGCTAGACGCCCTTATTTCCTGTATATAAGCAGGCAAATAAAGCGAAATAATTAATTGAATTGCAGACAGGCAGAGATAGAGACGGACAATTGAGTCAAGCGTGGTAGTAACCGTAAGTAAAGTGCGTGAGTCGTTGTGAAATATAGCGTGTGCTTAAATTAAAGTGACTGTGGACATTAAGTGTATTGCAAAGTTGTATTGAGAAAGAATAAACTAGTTTTATTTTAAGAAAGGACTTGTACTGCTGAAGTTTTTCGGAAAGAATTTCTACGGAAAATTAACCAACGAACAGAGACGTAATAAATTGGTGTCAGAAGTGGGATAAAAAAATGGAAACG